TTTATAAAGAAACTTAAAAAAAAAAAAAAAAAAAAGTGAAAAGAAAAACCAAAACAACAGGGTAATTGCTAATGTGGCTCAGTGCAAAGGCCCTGGTTGTAATCCCCAGTAGCACAAAACATGAACAAAAACAAACAGAAAAAAAGAAAGACCACTAATGGAATGATCAAACAAGATCAAGCACAGACGGAATTGGGAAGTGAGAGCAGGGGATGAAGAAATAATAACAGACATTTCTGAACCTATTTTGAATTTAGTGCATTCACCTTGTAGCTGGGCAACGTCAGGAGCGGTGTTTTCAGTCCTATGCACTCCCCTCCTGTGCTGGAGAAGGCTCAAGAACGGCCTGGGAACCGCATATCTCGACCTGGCGATTGGCCATCTCAGGAACATGTCTTGTCCCTGGTCTTCCTTCCCCAACTGTGAGGTGTTTCTCAAATTAGAGTAGGATTTTTTAAAATTCTGTATATACCAGTAGTGCTGACTCAAATTAATTTGTTACTTTAACGTGTACAAAATTGACAAATTGACTCTTTGTGTTTATACTTTTTATTAGACCCTAAAACCTAACCAAATTTAGATATTAGATACAGAGAAACACTGTGAATCCCATAACATTTAAAGTGACATGAACTCACTGTGGGCGAAGTTGGCTTACCCTGAATCTCTGCTCCCTGTGTGCCACTGGACTGGCCTCCCGGGTGCAAACCCTTCGAGTTCAGCCTTTCCTGGCACCTGATAACTTAATTCTTCCACTGATTTCTACTATTCAAGAAAAACTTCACTTGTGCATCATTATGTACAAATCTCACAGCAATTTGCTTAAAATAGAGCAAAGGCATCTGAACTCTGTTCTTTTCTTTCTAGTTTTTAAAAAACCTAGCACCTATAATGATGCAAGCTCAACTGTAAAGTTTGGTGCTGAAGTTGTGTGCAGAACATGGTGATACTGTGGCCATCTAAATGATCCTGGATATTCTCATATTAATTGTTTAAGATCACCATGGAAAGGAAAGCATTCAGCAGAACAACAAATTATGCTGGCATCTCAAACACTGGAGAATACACCCTAGTCTTCCTTGGTTCTCAGTTTAAGAAACCCTGGTACTCTCTAGGATGCTCATAGAAGGCTCCCAAAGACCCTTCTAACCCACATCTCATGAAGCCAGGAAGAGGCTACCGTTAAATGTACTCTCTGTATTTTTGGCAGTAACTTCAGATCCTTACCAGATCCTCCTGGATGGAAATGTCCGCAATTCCGTTTTGCGGTTTCACTGCCTTCTTCTCCCTCCCCTACTCACTTTGACACAACAACAGTGAGCAGGAAAGGAAGCTGCTTAGATGAACCTCACCTTGGGGAATGGCCTGGGGTAACCATGCTGGAAGAGCTCTCCTCCTCCCCTGCAGACCTGGGGGTGGCCTGCTCAGGGTGCTCCACAAGCGAGACACTCCCCACCCTCTCTTCTTGCAGCATTTTTGAGAGCACTGTTGAGAGGGAAGGTCCTGTGGCCTCTGCTCACAGACATTAAACAATGCAGGGAGGTCTCCACAGAGAACACTCTGGGTGCTGCTGGCAGGGGAGCTATCCATTCACTTTGAAGCCACTGCATCTGCTTGAAGGCCTGTGAGACAATAATATATTTGGGGGTAGCTGAGACATGGTTAGGTGTTATCAGTTACCCCACTGAGATTGTTTTTGAATGTTGCAAATGTCAACCCAGCAGAAAAGTTTTTCTGGCTCTCAAGGATTGAGAAAATGATTAGCTTTTCTGATTGTTTAGAAATTAGCATGATCATGGCTACCTTAGTATAACTTTGTCATCTTATTTTCCACTATGCACTGGGTCAATGAAAAGGCAGATCAAGAAACTCTTATAGCCACTGTACTAGGGACTGAACTCAGGGCTCTGGCAATGAGCTATATCCCTAGCCCTTAATTTTTTGTTCTGTTTTGATACAGGGTCACCCGAAATCACTAAGTCATTCAGTATGAGCTTGAATTTGCAATTATTCCACCTCAGACTCCCAAGATGCTGGAACGATAGCCATGAGCTACTTATAATCTTAAGAAGTTAAAGTCATTGTTTATGTCCAAGAAGAAGAGAGCCATCTTTTCTTATCCATTTGCAAGGAAATATTTGCAACCAGCCTTTGAATATCCACTTTGTTTTTCTTGTAGACCAGTGCTTCTTGAAACATTATTCCCAAGCCCAGCAGCAGCTGTCAGAAACCCACTTTGGAGTTGCAGTCCAGACCCACTGGATAGGAAGTTCTGGGGTGTGGTCTGGCAATCTGTCTTAATAAGCTCTGTAGAGGATTTTGACCCTAACTTAAATTTTGAGGGCCCTTCATGCAGATAGTGCAGGTAGCAGTGGTTCTCAACTTTGGTTTACATTAGTATTACTAGGAGCTTTTAAAAAATCCTGACATCCGTGGCTCACATCCAAACCAATAAAATTAGAGCCATGGGAATCAGGCATCAATGATTTTAAAGATCCCCGGGAGAGGCAACATGTAGAGAACAGGTCATCCTTGCTGCTCTCGGTGTGGCCATGGGTTGGCAGCATCAGCACCAGGGGGACTGGTTGGAAGTCCACAACCTCCCCTGGCCCAGGCATGCTGAAGCAAAATGTACCCCCCAAGGCCCCTGAGTGCCCACGTCACAGTTTGGGAAGCTACTGTAGTGGGCTGTTTTGTAGGCAGCTTTTGGCTCCACGTGATGGATTCATCCTTCTCAGCTTGTGGTTTGTGTGCTGTACCTCTGTGGTGCTGCCTCTCACTGTGAGGAGTGATTCAGATGTCTCATTTTTCTTAAACAGGACACAACCGACTATGTTGCCTATGTCGCCAAGGACCCCGTTAATCGCAGAGGTAAGCAAAGCTTGACCCATATAATTGCTCATTCGTGTATGACCAGGTTTAATACTGTGGACCAGATGTTCCTTGTTATCTCAGCTCCCTTCACCCAAGTGAGCACTTGTCATATCGTGAAGAATAATTAGGGTTTTCAAGGCACGCACATTGCCTGACAGTGGTAGGAGATTCTGGATGTCGCTGGGTATTGAGCCCAGACCTGTAACCAGATGGCGACAATTTGTTACACTCGACTTACACATTGCCAGCTCCTATCCATGCTCTCAGTAGCCTCGTTTCTACCCGGAAGGCTCTATACCTGCCCATCTTCCTGCCTGGCTTCAGCTCCTGGTGTGTGTGTACCCAGGGCTAACCAAACTACCTAAGCCACCTCACATTGCCCTGCTGAGTTCTGGATCCCAGCATTAAAGCTTAGTGTGCTGTCTGTTTGTGCTCTGCTGAGCCTCTCGTAGGGCCTCAGACATAGGCTGGATGGACAGGGTGGGGGTACAGAACCAAAGTCTGCTGGATGGTAATGACCACCGCTGCCATCGAACCCCACTGGCGAAAAGCACCAGTGGAACTGAGAACAATTCTGAGCAGCATTTCCACTACCAGCTGGCTCTTCCACCCCTTCCAGCTCCCACCCCATCCACCAACTGCTGATTTTCCAGTTTGCTTGCATAATTTAAAAATCCACACACACATATTTCCTCCTTTTTAAATTACAGTACTAATGATATCCTAGCATTCTGTTTTGCCACCTTCCCCCAACAGTGTATCTTGGATGTATTTTCAAGACAACCCATACAGGCAGATGAATTGATTCTCATTGTGGCTCTGCAGCGACCTGCTCAGCAGAGACTCCTGAAAACTCCTTTCTCATCCTTACAAATCGTGTTTTGTGACTTGTCCTAAAGAGGCATTTTCAGAACTACTGGATTGGATAGTCAAGATGGCAATGCCCTTGCACATTGCCCCCCAACCTGGTTGTAAAATTTGCATTCCCATGTAAGTGCATGTAAGTTATTTTCCTCCTAAGGTCTTTACCATACTTGGATGGTAAAGGATCAGGTTGAAAATCTGATCCCAGAGATGCCTTGCTGACAGAAGCTTCAGCCCACCACTTCTTAAATGGAAGGCAGCTTTCATGAAATGACTACGGAGAGCCAGTATTCACCTTGGGTGAGCAGGGGCACAGACTATCACAGTCAGGACTGTCCTTGGGACCAGCTGAACAAAAGCTCACTTGCCAATTTAGACGCTGGACTAGAGCATCCAAGTTGGCTTCTCTTCCATGTTGGTGCTCTCCAGGGTTGATTGAAAAGCAGTATCAGCAGGCTGTTCTCCACTCCATGGAGTCCCAGGACTCTCTATGGGACCACCCGCCCCCCCTCCCGTCCTCAGGGCACTACAACTTCCTATACAGCCACCCTTGCCTTCATGAGACCAAAAGTGGAAGATTCCAGTGTCTTTATGACCAGTTTTTCAATATTTCCGGGACAAAATACTACAAGCAGAGAGTCCTAAAAAAACCAAATGTATTGCCTCACAGTTCTATAAACTGGAGTTCGCAGTAGTAGCCTGAGACCCATAGAAGATCTCTCCTTGTCTGCTCTTGGCTTCTTGGAGTTGCTGGTGACTTTAGCACTATGTGACTTACAGATGCGGTTCTATAATCTTTTGTCATGGCATGGCATTTTTCCTGTGTATTTGTGACTTCACATGAGCATCTTTTTATCAGGATGTTGGTCACATTGGGTCAGGGACCACCCTACTCCAGAATGATCTCATCTTAGCTATTTATAACCACAATTAGCCTATTTCCAAATGCAGTCACATTCTGAGGTCCTGGGGTTAACATTAAAACATATCTTTTGGGGGAAAGACATAACACAAACCTTAATAGACGCCAATTCCTTTAACTCTTCTTGGGGTGCACCAAGTCAGGGCAGGTGGTAGGGAAGGAGAGGTGGCAAGTTATATCTGCTCAGGCCCTGGATTCCCAGTTTCAGCCTGGGCTTAGCAGCCATTGAAGCTCTTTTTCTATTTCAGTTTGTTTCAAATTAATGTCAAGTGATCCTAGGCCTTCTCCCCTTTTGGTGAACCTTTAATTACTCTTAAGTCAGTGGTTCTCAAAATGAGCCACGTTTGAGAGATACCAAAGGGAGCTTTATAAAAAAAAAACTTCACTGCTCAGGCTTCTGAGACTGAGGCTCAGATAATGATTCTTTTAAAGAGCTCTTGGGGTGATTCCAGTATGCACCCAGTGCTGGGAAATAGGGTTTAGGCTTGTGCCTTGAAAGGGTTTGGCCTCCAGGCATTGGCTTGGGGTCATGCATGGCTATAGCTTCTATTTTGTTTCACAGGATTGAGCCCCATACTCCCCTACTCTCTCACTCCAGAGTCCCAGGGATTGGAGGTCTGTTCCATGTGCCCAGTGCTCCTGCATGCATCTCTCCTAAGTTTTGCCTGCAATGCTCTGGGCCAGACTGAGCATGAAGCACTATTCTTTGTGCGTTGGGTAACTACCAGCTAGTACAACAGCTCTGTGAAGGTCTGCATATTTGTGCCCCACTAAAATTCATGCTGAAATCCAATACCTCAGTGTGGTGGTGGTATTAGAAGGTGCAGCCTTTGGGAGGTGATTAGGCCACAAGTGGGGAGCTCATGAAGGAGCTTAGAGCCCCATAGAAGAAGCTGCAGAAAGCTCTCTTTCTACTACATGGGGACACAGCAGGGGGAGGCATCTGCAGTCCAGGACTAAAGCCTTTGCAAGACATAAAATCTGCTGGCACCCTGACACTGGACTACAGCCTCTGAAACTGTGAGAAATAATTGTCAATTGATGAAATCGCTCAGGCAATGAATGGTATTCTGTTGTGGCAATCTGAGCTAAGACAGGCCTGTAGGTAAGATACCGAGTGAGAGAGGTTCACTCTTTCAGTTTTATTGCCTGTAACAAACTATCCCTTGCTTAGTGGATTACCAACAACTAGTGTATTATTTTATGATAGACTATGGGTCAGGCATTTAGGACTCATTTAGCCAGTTCATCTGCCGTTTGCTTTTACCTGAGATCACAAGTAGTCTTTGGCTGGTGTCTGGACTGGTCTAGGGGGTTCAAGTTGGCTCCATTTCCACACCTGCTACTTGGCTGGAGTCACTAGAAGGCAGTGTCAGCAGGTCCTTCTGTACTCCATGGAGTCCCTTCAGAGGGAGAGCTTCCTACATGGTCGCTCTGAGCTCCATGAGACCAAACTTGAATCCTCTGGTGCTCTGAAAGCCACTTTATTGTTTAAAGCCTTCACAGCCTGCTGAGGTTCATGTGAGGGGAACCATGCTCAGGCTCTGAGGAGAGTGTCAAGGAACTTCAGCCATTGTTATCCACAGTGCAGAGGCCCAGGCTCTGAAAGGCAGTGAGACAGCTGCCGCTACCTCACCCATGTCCACCAGCCTTATTTCCCAGGAGGGCCAGTGGAAGGGATTCTCACAGTTGCTTCTCTCCTTCCTGTTCCCCTTGGCCAAGATGAAGAAGGTTACTTAGTATGGATGGCCTTTACCACTGGCAGACAAATTAGTGAGACCTTCTGGATGCGAAGGTTCTTATTGGCATTCTCCAGTCTCTAAGCTGTCATACAGAGGCCCACGGATCTGAGGCTCTAGCAGGCTCGGGAATTGTGGTTCCTCAGGCTGTGAGCACAGCTCCTCGAGGTGGTCAGGGTCAGGACCCACTGCGGTCCCAGGAAGTCTTCTGGCCAAGTCCTATCGCAGTAGGTCACACTGCCTGTCTTTGCTTCTGAATACTGGTACTGTTTGCATGTGGGTGTGTCTCCTCTAGAAGAATTTCTAATGGGAATCTACATCTGTCTAGTACCAAGAACCCACACTTCCGGTGGGAAGGGAGTGCCTTTCACCCCACTCATTAAGTGCTATGGAACCATCGCCCGGTTCTCAGGGAGGTGAGGGTCGCACACGAGGGCAGTTTCAGGAGGTTGATGAATTAGAGTTAAAAAGCAGAACCAATAGGAGGCCTATACACTGCTGGTGATGTTTGCAGAGATGAAACTCCCATCACAGGAGGCTTTGCTGAATACTAATATGCCATTTTTTGGAAAAATTAAATTAAATTTAAAATTTTTTATTTAATTTTAATTGACGTATCATTGTGTATGTTTATGAGGCATGAAGTGCTGTTTTGATACCTGTTTACAATGCATAATGATCAAATTAGAGTAATTAACATTTCTGTCCTCTAAAACATTTAACATTTCTTTGTGGTGGGAATATCTGAAGTTCTCTTTTACAGTTTTTTGAAATATGTGATCATTATTGACTGTAGTCACTCTAGTTGGTAATTGAATGCCAGAACTTATTCCCCCTCACTAATTCTGTGCCTGTTGATCAATCTCCCCTCATCCTCCCCTGCTCACTTTGCCCCAGCCTATGGCAGCCAATATTCTACTCTGTGAAATAAGCTTTTCCTGATTTCACAAATGAGTGAGAATATGCAGTACTAGTCTTTCCATGCCTGGTTTAATTTATTTAACATTGTGTCTTCCAGGTGCATCTGTGTTGCCACAAATGACAAGACTGCATTCTTCTTGCAATGCACACTCTTCTATTACATGTATCCATACAACATTTTCTTTCTCCATTTGTCTGTTGGCGGACAGTTAGGTTGATTCCATCTCTTGGCTATTGTGGTTGATGCTGTGATAAGCATGCAAATGCAGGCATTTCCTCAACATATTGATTTCAATTTCTTTGGATAAATGCCTCTCGGGAATTCTCATTACTGCCCAGTGACTTCTATGCCCTGCAAACTTATACATGTACGAGACAGGTCTAAGTGCTGTTTGGCTGACAAAAGCAACTACAAAATGAGGTTCAAATTAAACAGATGCCATGGGATTTATATACCTTGTAGTCAAAATAGGGGGTCCTCCCTGGTACTCCCTAGACTGAGGCATGCAAGTTATATACAGTCCTTAGGAGGGAACCAGATGCATTTAGCC